AGTTTCATTCAGATAAACGTAAGAGATGACAGAGTTGTCTTTCTAGAGCTCATCTGACTCAAATTCTGGACAAATTAATCCCTTGTTATATCAAGGATTCACTATTCCAATGCAAATCTGCTCATGTATGCAGAGGAATACCAGTGTTAACCATTTTAAAATTGTTATTTATATCACACTCATTTAATCAGAGATAAGAGAACTGACTCTTTTGAAGAGATACTGCCTCAAGTTTTGTATAGGACATTTAAAAAAGGGGGGGGAAAAAAGAAAAAAGAAAGGAGCAGAGAGGAAGGAAACTAGCAAATCCTGTAATTTCACTAGTGGGTCTCCTGCAACATACCACTTAAATTACAGATGTTTGGATCCTTACTATTGCTACCAATTTTTAATTTGGCAGATTATTTTACAATGTATTAGAACGCTTTCCAGAAAGGCCATGCTGAACAAGACACAAGGGAGACACATGAATCAGAAAGAGATGGTTGTCCGCATTTTCACAGTTTTACTATTTGCATTAGTGTGGTTTACGGTTTCCTGAAGACTTAGAAAAGAAGTATGCATACACAGTTGTTATTTAGGTACTTTGTCCCTGACATGATCAACTCATACTTGGAAACCTATCGTTAGCTTTAAGATAAAAGGTACACATATGCCATTAAAAATCATATGTCTAGGATTTGTCTCACAAGTCACAATCAACTTTCCTGGTAAAATCCATTTTGTTCCAAATACAGAGACATATTTTCACCAGTTTCTCTCAAATTGTTTAAAAAACAGAAGCTGGCACTAATGCCAAAAATTCAAGATCTTCAAATAGTTGTAAGCAACTAAACTAGGAAATAGGATAAGCTTGCTGAAGAAATCACTGGAGCTTTTCTAAAACAGTATACAAAGTTCCCATCAATGAGACACAAAGTATTTCTCATTTCTCTGCTACAGACCTATAGCAACTCTAAGAATTAATAACAATCCACTGTATACTCCTGAAGACCAAAAATGTTACAAGAAAACATTTTAACCTTGGGTTAAAATACCCAAATCAAAGTACTGAGCATGACACTAACTGAATTCATAAGAATTCATTTTAGTTCAGCAAACACTTGGACTTAAGTCATCTTTGGTCAGTAAACACTTTGACAAGTCAAAACATTTGTTAAGCCCCCTCAGAACAGCCCAAATTTACATTTCACTTATGACCTCCAACACCTTAGTACCCTTCTTCTTAATGATTACAATTAACACAAAGAAGGAAATAATGGATGGAGTGTGACACAAGAAATCAGATTATACACTACACAACTGTGAAGTTGACAGTATAATCAAAGACACTGGACAGTAGTCTAGATTAAAAATTCGATAGAATTCTTTGAGAGAATTTTTAGATAGATAGAAGCATCATATTTAAACAGAATCCATAGTGTAATTAGATGTTATCCTACAGCACAGCTGGGCAGCTCTGAGAGATCAGAGAATGCACAAGCAATCCCACCTCAAGCATTGGAAGCACTGATGTGAAGTTCAATGTTCCCAAAAGCCAACATAAAAACTTCAGCAGGTAAAAAGGGACCTGTTTAGATGATGAACTTTCTCTGCTCTTATGGTAAATAAAAAGTTAACGGAGAGCCTCACCCAGGGAAAGTACATTACAAAGTTGTCTTTAAGCAAAGATGAGATAAAAAGCGAAAGTTCTTGCAAATTAACAGGCATGACTTCTTTCTAGAAGTGATACTGTTAAATAAAAAAGTAGTAATGTTAGCATAAAATTGCATTTGGATAAGGACATCAGATCAACGTGAATGCATACCAAAAGAACCCCAAAGAAATCTGAAGAAAGCTGAGAAGCCAAAAATTATTCAGAGAATTGCATTAAAGGATCTTAGAGGGTCCAAAAGATGAGTAAAAGGAGTTAAAAGCTTGGCGATAGATCTGAACATATAAGGAAACCACACAGTTAAAACAGCAAAAAGTGAAACATCTTTTGGGATCTTGCAGAGAAAAGCAGGGGATGTCAGGAGATTCTCAGTCAATTACTGTGGAGATTAAAGAAAATTTATCAAAGCAACAGTAAAGTTCTTCATCATCATAGAGACTGAAGTCAATACAGAATTAGCAGAGGTAGGATTATGTTTATTTTAATATAAAATATAGTTGTCTGTAGATATAGATGATGCCTTGTGATGGAAATGCAGGGTTTGCATATTCCCTAGCTTAACGGAGAACTCCTGTCCCACTTGGCTTTAGAAACACAAAGAAAACAGACAACAATTATTGCACAACTATATGATCCGTAAGAATTATGTTTAAGTCCCTACTTACGTACTATAAGACAAAAGACACACACAGAGCAACATAATGATAAATGTCTTAATAGTACTCTCACTTCTACAGGCAAGCTTAGCTTACGAAGTAATGCATATGTTTTCAGCCATCTGTATTTCAAAAGTAGCTAGGCTGCTGATCCTCACTCTTGCTGGAAGGCTTCTACACAGGCACCAGCTAAAGCCCATGATATTTCCACATTCCACATCTCATGAAATCTGAGGGAGATAATTCATGACCAGGTGACAAGCATTTGCTCCTGTACCAAAGCTGTCCCTCATTTAACTCAGCTTCACGCAATACTGCAACAAGTATCTAACATCTAGCTCTTTAAAACTGATATTCTTGATTTAGAGAGGCCACATCTTGACAATGGATTCTGTTGACTAATGACAAGAAGCCAAACTTTCCAGTAAACATAATAACAAACACGTTTCCCTCTCTAAGTATTCCCAAACTGTCACATTTGTCCCTGATTTTCACTTCAGTATAAATAAAATCACTGGCAGAGTCATACAATTCTGTAAATGTCATTTTCGAAGAAACATCCATGAGTAGCAGTACAAAACTTAAATACAGAGATATTTTTTAATTAGGACTCATTTGACAGCTTCTAGTATACAACTTCTGAGAGTAAAAGGTAGAGTTCTATTTCTAAAAAATATTTGATTCCACTTCTGGTACTTCAGTATATCTGAAAACATCTATATAAATTACAGATAGAACTATTTTGGACTTAAACTATTTGTAAGACCACTGTAAATATTTTGTGATGCAGAAACCTAAAAGCAGATTACTACATTCAGATGCAGGCATTGTCTTGAGTGCACAGATTTTGAGATATGCTGTTAGCCTCAATAGTTTCAGAGCTGTCAGCAAGGCCTTGGCAAGAAGCCACATCCTCTCCCCAAGAACTGCTGTGAAAGTGAATACTTCTATCAAGTAAGAACTGCCTCAGACTTGAGGTTTTCAGACTTCACAGTCTCGCCGTTCTCAAAATTATTTCCTCATTTCATTTTCACATCCCTTGTCTGCTGTGAAGACTCTGCTCCTCCAGCTGTTCCTCTATTCACACAGGAATAATCATCCCTTACCTCTTTCTGCAGCTGCATCCGTGACAACAGCATCAGCTTCATGCTGTAATTGCTATGATTGTCCAAGGGATTCTAACTAGGAGTGTCTGAAACTAACAAAACGTTTGTCCAGATTTAAGAGGTTACATCTTAGGGGAGTGCCTAACATGTTACCAAGACTGCTTCATCCCATTAAAGATATGTTTTAATACAAAGAGATAACATTTTACTCAGATTGCAAACAAAAACCTATAGAATCCTTTTTTTATTCAGAGATTCAGTCTACTGATAAATTTATTTTTCAGATGTTGACAAACCTTTAGACTGATATTTAATATTAACAGTACCATGTTCAGCATTCAAAATTATACCAGGGATGCGTGTTTTTATGTATTATAATTGAAAATCTATATTCAGCATGCTTAATACTGGGTGATATTCAGAACACCTCAAGTCCAAGCAAAAAGTGTAATTAATACAGACTATACAGCACAAGTCAGCCATTGAAAAACTACTTAGAAATAAAATAAAAACAAAACCTCTTCTAGGAACATTGCAATATCATCTCTAAACTCTTTGAAGCTTAAGTATATTTAAAATCTTTCCCTCTTAATTCATCATGTGATAGGTAAACTATTCCTATATGGTTCCTTCTTCAGTTAACACTGTTCTCCTTATTATTGCTATATTCCAAGAGGGACAAGATATAATTTCTGAATCATCACTGCATTTCGCCACTGGAGCTCTGTGCACAAGCTCGAAATCTAAAGAAGCTACAACACGTAAAAATCAATGTCTGATAAGAGCACTTTCTCTGTCTAGAGAGGTGTGTATGGTTGCATAGTGACTTGGGAAATACATACACCACCTCCTCTTTCATGCATGTTCTGCTATGCTTAGAAATGCTACTTTCCCTACTTGAATCGTGCACACGCAGCAGTTTACAAATAGTCAGATTTGTTAAGGGGTTCTTTACTGGCAGGGTGGGGTGTGTGGAGATCGCTGCCTCATAAAATCTTCTACTCGCGTTTTCCCGAGATTATTCCCCCTTGCCTCTGTATTTACAGAAACCACCAGCTCAGATACTCCGTCTACAACAGATAAAATAACTTAGATCTAACGACCTGCGTTGCTAACTAGGTCAGCCTGAGGAGATATTCCACATCCACGTTTGGACACAAGAATAACATCGACTTCAGATGAGAGCATCACGGTTCTACCCCCACCTCCCAGAGAAAGAGGTCTGCGGGACGGATACCCACGGATGCCGAGGCCTGCCCGGCGCTCACCCCAGCCCCTCTGGGGAGCCTCCGAGGGGCGTCCCCGCCGCCCAGGCCCGGCGAGTTTTCCCTCCACGTGAACGCCCTGGATGGGGAGCGGCAGGAATGAGAGGGGCAGACCTCGGCCATTGGCCCGTGTCCCCCTCCCCAGCTGCCGCAGCGCCGGAGGAGGGCAGGGGAGGGGAGGGCGGGGGAGGCGGGAAAAGGCGCAGCACCCCCAGCGCTTCACCCGCGGCTGCCCCTTCCTCGGCTCCGGCCGCCGCTGGAGCCCCCGCCCCTTCCACGCAGAGCTAGGGCCTCGCTCCGGCGGAGCGGCGCCGCTCACCTCTCTTGGAGCCGGGGCTGGGGCTGCCGCCGGCGCCCCTGGAGCTCTTGCGCGAGGCCATCGCACCTCCCGTCGGGCCGCGCAGGGGGCGGGGCGGCAGCGCGAGCGCGTCGGGAGCCGCGGCCACACCACCAGACCGCGGCGCGGCCCCGAGCGGCGCAGCCCCGCCCCCCCCCGCCCTCCCGCAGCCAATCGCGCCAGCAAGGCGGGGTGACGCTCGCCTCCGATTGGCGGTGGCGCCGCGAGGGGGCGGGGCAGGGGCAGGGCGGTGGCGCGCCCTGCGCGCTCTCGCGCCACCGCCGGCGCCTTTGAACGTGGCAGCTGCGGGCGCGAGCGGCGGCCGCGGCCTCTCGCGAGGGTTCGGGCGCGCGCGCCGCGAGGGGGCGGGGCCGCCCCCGCCGGAGAGGGTGGGAAAGGTTGGGAAGGTGGAGGTGGAGGTGGATGAGCCGGGTGGGGTGGTCCTTCCTACGGGGGCTTCACTCAAAGCATCTAGTCGCGTGTCTTAAACCACCCTCTGCATCCAGTTAAACGCCCAAATTGCGGGAAACATCATTAATGTGCATAAATATCTAAAGGGGGGAGTTAGGGAGTGCCGAGAGAATGGAGCCAGGCTCTTGTCAGAGGTGCCAGGCTATAGGACAAGAGGACACGGGCAGAAACTGATGCACAGGAAGTTCCACCTGAATGCAAGGCAGAACTTCTTTACAGTGTGAGTGACTGAGCACTGGAACAGATTCACCAGAGAGCTTATGGAGTCTCCCTCACTGAAGATATTCCAGAATCGTTTGGCTTCAGTCCTGTGCCATGCACTCTGGGATGACCCTGCTTGAGTAAGGAGGTTGGATCAGATGACACACTGTGGTCCCTTCCAATCTGACCCATCCTGTGACTGATCTGTGGAACAGCTTGTCAAGCCTTCCAGGGAGCTCCTTTGCAACCACTGTAGTGAAAGGGTTTGAAGTACTGCACATCAGACTTTGGATTCCCCAACAAGGCTTTTTGAGGCTTTAAAAATACTTATAATCGCCTGTGAGAAAATAAGCCTCTTTTGCAGGAGTTCAGGGTGCCTGCTGGTACTCAATGATTCTCATTGAGACTGGGTTAAGATGCAGTTTGGCACAATAATAAAGGCCTGAAACAGAAAAACAGACCCAGCTTTGAGTCCTGACCATAAATACAATGTTTCAGGTCAAAAGAAACAATTTTGCAAATTGGAGCTTTGTAAGTGGATGTGCAGAGAGGGGTTCCTTTTTACCCAAACAGAAGTCGGCACTGTGCTTTGGGCAGAGTAATGCAATGAAACTATCCAGGGACAGTAATTTACTCAAGAGCATAAATCAGTATTTTTAAATGAAATTAGCATTTAAGTGCTTAGTCAAGTAACAGGATGTCAGTGTAGGTACTTTAGCCAGTGTAAGTAAAAGCAACTACTTTTGGGAACATCAAAAACAGTGAAGTCTGCTTCCTGGTATCTCTCACGTGACTTAATTGGTATCTAGTACAGTTGAGTATCTGAACTTTTTGCTTGATTATGGCACCCTACCAAAGTTTTACTTTCACATGATGTGTAAGTACATAATGTTTTTTAGATGCTCCCCTTTTGTTTAATGAGGCTGAAGCTGCTGAACAAGTTCAAAAACTGCTAGGGAGGAGTAGACATACTCATGACCATGTACAATTTATCATGGAAAAGCTAACAGGATGAATTATTAATATTTTAGCAAACTAGAAAGTACAATGTAAGGAATGAAAGCAAAAAAAAAATCAATTATAATCTGTAACTGGGATTACTGAAAATACAATAATTAGTAGAAAATAGCTGTGTGACTATATTCTTGCAAGCAGTAATTACTGTCAATTGAGACAACAGCTGTTTTTAGCAATGTGGGGTAGAGTTTCCTTAAGTTATACTGTGGGAAGTGGCAGTTTGATAAGAGATGTTGATAACATTGGAGCCAATGGGTGAACAGTAACACTTAGACAGATATTGCTAATGTTTCACTCTGAACAACATTTTTGTTTGTAAATGGACCATAAAATTCCTTACTTTTGCTTACTTGGGCACACAGGTCCAGTATTCCGTAATTGGTGTGTTCAGTACCTGCTTGTATACTCTTCTGTCTAAGAAGTTCCTCTTGCAGAATTAAAATATGCACACAGAGGTGCAAATGCTCATACACTATTGTATGTTTAAGCTCATCACTAACCTTCTGCATGATCTTGTTATTTGGAGGTTTCTGTTGATCTCCTATAGCATCAGGAAGACTTTTTCCTTCTGGCTCACAGATACCTGTGAACTTGAAGAAAAATGTTGGATAAGAGTGGGTATTGTCTTCTACTGATCAGAGAATCTTTTTCTTATAGTTTTGCCTGATATGTTTAAGTGATCACACACTTAAACTCTGGTCATCGTGTGTGGTTTTGGACTAAGCAGCCTTTCAGATAAACTTAGCAGAAAGCAAAAGGCCTGATTTTCCTACTGTAATCACCTGAGGACAATTCAGGTGCAGAGTATGTGATCCCCACTGTGCCACTGAAGAAGCTTGGGACAGCTTGGTATCAGTTATTTTAGAGACAATAACACCTAATTTGATTTAAATTTGCCAGGGTGACTGTTGCAGCAAATGATATGACAATCCCTTCTGATTTGAAATATAATGAAAATTGAAGTAAGTATTCAAAATGTCTTTTTTTTAGGAAGGGTGTCAAAGAGAAAAGCCCACGGTGTGGGTAGGTGAATGCGCATGGCAATGCCTTGTCATTTTTTAATCTGCTCAATTGTTTTAGAGCTACATGTTTGGTACATTGTAAGAGTATGCAGGAAACCACAGGAAGATAAATATCGTCTTTGTTTGTAGGAGGAAAAGAAACAGGGCAGAAAAAGAATGTAACAATGAGAAGGAGCAAGTTTGTAAAGCAAGGACAAAAAAATGAAAAGCAGGAAAAAAACTAAAACCAGAATATAAATTATACATAAAGGCAAGGTATATAAGACAGACCACACAGTGGTCAGTTGGAGTCTTTCCACTTGGATCAGGCTTTTTAAAACAGAAAATAAAAAATCCTTTCTCTTGACAAGAATCACATTTACCCTCATTCCAAACTGTCCTAATTGACTGCTTGTTGAGACTACAGCAATTTAAATTATGCTACATATCATAAATCACTGTATTAGAAGAATGACTCCGATTAATGAGCCATGTTTGGAAAATAAATGCACATTTTTACTGAGAATTTAATTTCCATAAATACCTTTGCATTAATGCACTCACAGCTGTTTTGCTGTCCCGATTCATTCAGGCACAGCGACTCTGCTATTTGAGAGAAAGAAAAAGGTCCAAGATGATAAGCAGAAGCAGCGATGAAATAATTACATGAAAAGAGGATTCAGTCTCTAGTTTCCTAATTGCTAAAAGAATTGCACATTATAAGAAGGCTTAAAGAGTTCAGTCTTACTCTGTTCATGTTCCTAAGTGGTGGTATTCTTATGTTGATCACTCTAACTGACTTATAGCTGTCCATTCGATTGCATAAATTTATTATAAATAAATCAATTTCAATTAATTATTAGGAGAAAAGACATTGTCCAACTAGAGAGGGAAAATAATTTTATTACTTTATACTTTGCACTGAAAAGAGCAGGTAGGGTATTATCAGGATATAATTAAAAATAATATGTCGATATCTCTAAGATAGTATAAGACTTTCTACTGAAAACTTTGGCATTTAGAATTTTAAGGTTTTCTATTGCCCAGATAATATTTTTTTTCGTGAACTATGCACCTTGCAGCTAGTTGGAAAAGGCGTTCCCACCAGCAGGCTGTGTTCAAAAATGTGCCTTGGGTAAATATAGAACAAAGATGGTGATGAACAGGTTTTGCTGTTAGTTTTACAGGTTATCAAGTTGACACTTGAACTGCTGCTCAGCTTTCTGGTTTCTAATGGGCTTACAGGCAGTACAGAGAATCAACATCCAGCCATTTGCATTTGTTAGCCAAGATTCACCAACCACAGAGCAGATGTTTTGGAAAGAGAGGAAAAAAAGAGAAGGTAGAGAGTGTCTCAGTGATCCAAACCTAAACAACTGCACTGTCTGTGTTGGTGTTGCACTTACAGCTAGTTGAATCTACAGAAAAGTGAGGTATAGTTGAGTTGGTTGTTCATAAGGAGAAATTTTCTCTTTATTTATTTATTTTAACAGTACTTTTATGGCAATATACATCAGTTTTAGATTTGTGTATTCTTATATAAACACTGGAACATTTCCTAAATCAGCTGGTGATACTGACAAATAGAAAGCAGTCATTTGCTGGAGGAGCACTGAGAAGTATGTAAGTGTCCTGAATGTAAGATGCACAAAGAAGTTGAGCCAGATGAAACATGTCAAGTTCAAGCAAAGCTAAGGTTGAAGTGGAGTTTGATTTCAAATTGCTAAGAGTAAATTGTACGATATTATTAAGTCTAGGTCAAAAGCTTGTTCTCATTGCTCTCAGCTGATTTATGTTGACCTCCCCAATGAGTAAGTCAAATAACAATTGGCCTTTGGATCAGTGGTATGACCTAGTAGTCTGGAATTTGTTACAATGGTGCTTGGATTCCACAGGTCTTGCTGCAGATTGTGCCAGGTCTGATTCAGATAAATTGATCTCTGTGAGTGTAATAATTACAGCTGAGAATGAATCAAACTTCTCAGAGCAAGATTCTTCATCTGGTGATTAGATTTTGTTTAAACTGTGAAGATTATTTGGAATCTTAGGAGGGCCTTTTGTCATATCCCTATGTACCAATAGAGGAATGTATGGATTTGTTTCCTACAGCATGAGATGCTCAGAAAAAAAAGGGCAAACCTTCATTTTTACACCTGTAACAGTTACTTCTAATATGAATTCTTAGAAGTACCATCAGAGATAAGCCTTGAAAGATATTTAAACTAGAAGTCATACCTTCCAGATGTATTGAGAACAACTGGTGGAGCTCAAATACTGCAAAACACTGGTTGGCTATAGATAAAGACTACAACAAACCAGGATCAGTATTATCTCAATTACTGTGGGTGAAAATACAATCCTCATTAGAGTGGCAACAAGAAAATGAGGCTTAGTCAGTCTTTTCCAGCACATGACATCATACATGTTAATAA